CCCTGCCTTTGCACACACTTGAAATGTCTTTCTTACCTTCTCTGTAAATTTGCCTTTCAAAAAAGAAAATATATATATATATATACATATACATATATATATATATATCGCAAAGAAAAAGCCCTGTGTGGTGGCCTAATGACGGATGTCCTTGCCTTGCATGCTTTGGGATCCCATATGGGCGCCGGTTCATGTCCCATTGCTTTGCTTCCCATTTAGCTCTCTGCTTGTCTCCTGGGAGAGCAGTCAAGGGCGAACCAAAGCCTTGGGACCCTGCACCTGCACAGGAAACCTGGAAGAAGCTCATGGATCCTGGCTTCAGATTGGTGCAATTGCAGCCAAAGATCTTCCTTTCTGTCTCTCCTCTCTGTATATCTAACTTTCCAATAAAAATAAATCTTTCGGGTCTAGTGCAGTGGTCTAGCAGCTAAAGTCCTTGCCTTAAACACAATGGGATCCTATATGGATGCCAGTTCTAATCCCGGGAGTTCAACTTCCCATCCTGCACCCACCTGGGAGACCTGGAGGAGATTCCTGGCTCCCAGCTTTGGACTGGCACAGCACTAGCTGTTGCAGTCACTTGGGGAGTGAATCATCAAACGGAAGATCTTCCTGTCTGTCTCTCCTCATTTCTGTATATCTGACTTTGCAATAAAAATAAATCTTTAAAAAACATAAATCTTGAAAAAGAAAAGACGCTTTTACAAAAGTTACTGGGATCAGCAATGTGGTGTACCGTATTAATTCACCTGTGTCACCAATATCCCATCCAAGTTCTGTTTTGCAGGCTGAATGATCCCCTCCTTTAGTTTGTTTGTTTGTTTTAATTCAAAGGTCAGATTTACAGAGAGAATGAGAGAAAAAATATTTTATCTACTGGTTCATTCCCCAAGTGGTCACAGTGGCCAGAGCTGAGATGATCAGAACCCAGGTGTCTCTTCTGGGTCTCCCAGGTATGTGCAGGGTCGTCATCTAGTACTTTCCCAGGCCACAGTCAGGGACCTCGAAGCTAAGTGGAGAAGCCTGGATTCGAACCAGCGCCCGTATGGGTTCCTGGCAAATGTAAGGCAAGGACTTTAGTCACTAGGCTACAGCGCTGGGCCTGACTGTTCCCCTTGTGGTCCAGTTCTCTGTTGATGTGCCTGAAAAAGAAGCAGATGTCTCAACTCCTGGGGTATCTGCACATATATGGGAAATTAGAAAAAAGCTACTGGCTTTGGCCTGCCCCAGCCATGACTTTTCTGGCCATTTGGGGAGTAAACTAGCAACCGATGGAATATTTCTGTCAGTATCCTCTCTAGAAATCTGTCTTTCAAATAAATAAATCTTAATAAATCTAAAAAAGGCTATTGGGCCCAGCGCAGTAGCCTAGTGGCTGAAGTCCTCACCTTGCATGCTCGGGGACCCCATAGGGGTCCTGGTTCTAATAAGAGCAGCCCTGCTTCCCATCCAGCATCCTGCTTGTGCCCTGGAAGAGCAATCAAGGATGGCCCGAGGCCTTGGAATCCTGGACTGTGTGGGAGACTTAGAAGAGGCTCTGGCCATTGTGACCATTTGGGGAGTGAATCAGCAGATAGAAGATCTTCCTCTCTGTCTGTCCTCCCCTCTATATATCTGATTTTATAATACATTAAAAAAAATGCATATTAAAACCTTGTGTCGGGACCAGCGACAAGTCTTTGCCTTGAATGCGCTGGGATCCCATATGGGTGCTGGTTCTAATCCCGGCAGCTCCACTTCCCATCCAGCTCCCTGCTTGTGGCCTGGTAAGGCAGTAAAGGATGGCCCAAGGCCCTGGGACCCTGCACCTGCATGGGAGGCCTGGAAGAAGTTCCTGGCTCCTGGCTTCGGATTGGCGCAGCACCTGTCTTTGTGGTCACTTGGGGAGTGAGTCATTGAACGGAGGATCTTCCTCTCTGTCTCTCCTCCTCTCTGTATATCTGACTTTGTAATGAAAATAAAATAAATTTTAAAAAAAGTAGGTTTCTTATAAAAAACCTTGTGTCTGTAAGCTAAACGTCTTCAGGCTTTCTCAGCATTAGAAACATGCTGACAAAATGAGGTATGCTGTTTTTCTAAGTACAGGGAAAATGTACTTCAGTAAGACTGATGAGTGTGCATAGGTGGTATTGCCTACGTAGTTCTGTGCATTTATATGGGAAAAATCTGGAAATATTTGCATCTCCCAATAGTTCCACAAGTGTTAATCCCAGCAAATGAACTCCATTTTCTTGGCTAACCTGTAAATCCACTCAAGTGTTCCCTGTGATACTTCCTTTCACTTATTTAAAAAAAGAGTTATTTGAGATACAGCTGCTTTTGGCAGGTTCATTGCCACAAATGCCTGTGACTGCTGGAGCTGTGCCTTTTCAAGTTAGCAGCTGGAAATCCAGATGTTCCACAGGAATGACAGCAGCGCCATCACTTGGGCTATCACCCTGGGCAATGGCAGGCCAAAGCCAGAGCTTTATTTTGGTCTCCCATAGAAGTACAGGAGCCCTAGCAGGGCTACAACACCTGTGAGCCTCATGTGGACTAGATCGGGTAAAAGCCAGGCTGGGCTGATTATTCCTACTGGTGCAAACAAAATTAGAGTGGGTCAGGGTTGTTTGGGCTTAGCTGCAGCATCAGCTGGCAGAAGCTGGCACTGGGGTCTAATTCTGTCAAGTCAAACCACAGAACCACCTGGAGAATGCACAATCTGGGAGTGGGAAAGGCCTGGGAGGGATATTGGGCTCCTCCCTCTTGGTTACCTGGGTTACCACTTCCACTGGAGGGCATGAAAACTAGGACAGGGGCTGGGGTGGCTAGAAAGGCACTCAACAATATCCGTGAGGGCTGGATAGTTGAGCCTAGCTGGAACCAGGTGCCCATATGGGATCCCAGCACATTCAAGGCCAGGACTTTAGTCCATAGGTTGCTGTGCTGGGCCCTAGGCACCGGTTCTAATCTTGGCAGCCCCATTTTCCCATCCAGCTCCCTGCTTGTGGCCTGGGAAAGCAGTCGAGGACGGCCCAATGCCTTGGGACCCCGTACCCTCATGGGACACCCGGAGAAGCTCCCAAATGGGATCCTGGCTCATTGAAGATGAGGACTTTAGGTGCTAGGCCATTGCACAGGGCCCAGAAATAAATTTTTAAATTAAAAAATATTTATTTTTGAAAGAATTACAGAGAAGGAGAAAGAGGAATTCTCCACCTACTGATTTACTTCCCAGAAGGCTGCAATGTGCAGGGTTGGGCCAGGCCGAAGCTGGGCATCCGAGAATCGATGTGCGTCTCTCAAATGGGTGGAAGCGGCTCAGTTAGACCATGTCCCAACCGCTCTGCAGTGCATCTGCATGGAGCTAGATTGAAAGCGAGCAGCCCAGAAAGGCACTGGTTTTGCTAAAGCATGCATGTATACCATCAGCTTTACCTACATTTCCACAAACTTTTTTTTTCTCTCAGATTTACAATGAGAATTTCATCTTGTCCCTGAGTTTTGCTACTGTACTCTAGAAACACCTATGCCATGGAATCTGAGTTCTTCTCTTCCCTTTTCTGTTACACTTTGGCTTTGGTGTGAGTACAGTGGCATAGCATGCTCATTTCCTGCCTGTTAATAACAGCACCTGATGTGGTTGCTGGTTCTGGTCCTGGCTGTTCCTTTTCTGATCCGGCTCTCTGCTTGTAGCCTAGGATTGCAGCAGGAGAGGGCTCAAGTCTCGGGGGCCCTGCACGTGTGTGGGAGACTGGAGGGAAGTTTCTGGCTCCCAGAGTTTGATCAGCTCAGCTCTGGTGATTGTGACCATTTGGGGAATGAACCACATGATGGAAGATCCTGTTTCTCCTTCTCTCTGCAAATCTTTCCAATAAAAACAAGCCTTTCAAGAAAACTGCGTTTGTCTTTTTGGTATGTCCATTTTTATATCTTCCATGTGTATAAATATTTGGGCAGGCTAGTGGTGAGGTGAGGTGGGTTAAACTGGAGTGAAGGAAAATAGATACAGTACACAACTAAAGCAGAACAATGCAGGTAGGTAACTCACCAGTGTTTGAGTGATTCATCAGGCTGTTGCACAGGAATTTTACATAAAGTTGGAAAGCATGGGGGGAGAAGGAACCAACACAGGGCCTTTGTAACAATGTGAATTATGGCTCTGGGGAAGCTACACTTGAACCTCAGGCACGTGGTCCTTATCTCCCGCACCCCCACTTCCACAGGGGTGCCTGTTTAGTGTGAAAGTCAGACACAGCAGCAAGACCCAAATCTGAGTGAGGGCATCCAGGTGGCTCTTCACCTCTTCCCAGTTCCAAGTGATCAACAGCACTTCCCAGAAGTACCAACAGCACTTCCCAGAAGATCCAGGATTCTTTACACTTGCAAAGGAATTCTTTGTTCCTGATTTTCCCGTGTTATATTGGAATGTATAGTTAGCTCTAGCAAGGGCAAAGAGGAAATAATACAAAGCAGAAATGGTGTTTGCTGTGCACCCGCTGCCATGGGGCCCCTTTACCTGGGTCTGTTCCAATCCCGGCTGCATCCGTTGGGTGCCGCTCCCCATTTTACGGTTGATTACAAATGAGGCCAGTTCTGTCACCCTTCAGCTGGACTACAAGCTAATCGCTCACAGTCCAAAGCCACGATTCCGTGTTAGAGGTGACCGGCGGCAGCAAAAAGTAGGCTCACAGGTGCCTGCTTCTACACATCAACTTCCCAGCGTTAGCACAGACAAGATTGGCAGCCCCAAGAGGGAAACCTCGAGGGTGCAAATCCACCAGGGACTCCGCCTTCAGGTGTGTGTGTGTGTGTGTGTGTTTGGGGGGGGGGGGCATACCAGCCGCCCCTGCCAGGTGGCCAGCCTCTTCGGCGTGCCCAAAAGAGGTGCAGTTGCCGGTGTGTGTGGGGGAGGGGGCTGCCTTGCGGCTGCGTCCTGCTCGCCGCGCCCTCCCCCAGCCTCCGCTGCCGCCAAAGCCCGGAGCGCGGAGCGCGCACGTTGAGTCTCCGGGCCCGGGCCTGGCCGCGGCGCCGGGCATGCTCAGTGGGCAGGACCCGGGCGAGTGGCGAGTAAGGGAGCGTCGGCTGCGCTGGGGCTGCCTTCCCTCGCTTCGGGGGGCCCCGCACCCTGGGCTGCTTTTCTATCTTAGGGGGGAGGGGGACGCCGAGCCGCAGCGTCGGCCGCTGCCTCCCGGTGGGGCCGCCCGACCCCAGATGCCGCCTGGCCTGTCCGGTTTCCGCCGTTAACCTCGCGGCGCGGCCCGGGAGGAGGAGGAGGAGGAGGAGGAAGAGGAGGAGGAGGAGGAGCGGGGCGGGGCGGGCGGAGCGGCCCCAGGGCCCAGCCGGGGGTGGGGGTGGGGTGGGGTGGGTGCGGGGAGCCCCGCGGGGGTGGGGGGAGGGGGCGGGCTCCGAGTCACGGGGTGGGGTCACCGGCGGGGGCTCGGCGGAACCAGCCCCGGTGGGCAGCAGCGGCGGCGGCGGCGGCAGCGGGCCCCGGGCCAGGGCTTTCCGGCCTTCGGGGAGGCCGCCGCGGGCCCCATCTTCCGGCGCTCGGCCGAGTTTGTGGTGATTGTTGCTGCCGCTGCCACCGCCCCTGCTGCCACCTCCTCCTCCCCCTCTCCTCCTCCTCTTCCTCCTCCTCCTCCTCCTCCTGGGCCGGGCTGATCCCCTCCCCGCTGCCGCCTCCTCCTGGGCTGGGCCCGCGGTGTCTCGTCCCCTCGCGGAGCCGCTCCTGCCGCCGCCGCCGCCGCCGCCTCCTCCTCATTCATCCTCGTGCACCATAGGCGGCACAGGCACCAAGATGTCCAACCGAGTGGTCTGCCGGGAAGCCAGTCACGCCGGGAGCTGGTACACAGCCTCAGGTAGGGCCCCAGGCCGCCGGGCCGCCTGGCCCCGCGCCCGGCCGGCCGAGGTCGGGCAGCCCGGCCCCTCGCGCGCGGCGGCGGGCGGAGACCAGGGCGCGGACGGGCCGCGGGCGCCGACCGACCGCGTGCAGGGCGAGCGGGCCGCAGCCGGCCGGGCTCGCGCCGTCCCGGAGTTGGGGAGCCAGAGGAGTTGCCACCGCCCTGGCAGCCGCACCCCTCCCTCGGGACCAGGCTGCAGGGGAAGAACGTGCTCCCGATCGTGCCCTGGGACCCGCGTCGACTTGTCGCCTGTTCCTCCGGCCGCTCCACCGGGGAGGGACGCGGGTGTCCCGGTTTCCCCTCCGGGAGCGTCCAGGCATTCACCTCCCTGCCCTGCCTGCCCGGGGGTCCGACTCAGGCGCCCCCCGAACCTCCTCGCCTGTGTCCCTGGGGCCGGTTTAGCCCTGTGGCACTGGTGGGGACAGGCAGCGTGTCCCTCACCCTTTGAGGTGCCAGGCGGCGCTGGTGGAAGGAGTGAAGAGTGGTATTTTCTCTTTCCCTGAGACGAGCTCTCCGCCCAGGAGGGGTGTCAGGCCAGGGCCTTGGGGTGGGGTGGGGTCAGGGATTTGGGGTGAGGGGAGGAGGTAGAGGCCGGGGCTTTGGGCGGCTGCCCCGCTCTTTTGTCAGCGTGTGCATTGTTCCTGTCATTCAGGAGAGGGGCAGCTGGGGATGGCATCAGCACTTTTTTCCTTCAGGGTCTAGTTGCTCCACGCAAAGCAGGTGCTGGAGACGAGCTAGTCAGTTAGTTTTAGGTTTTGAGCGAATTTTCAGTCTCCTGGCCGTACTGCCTGCGAGCATTTTTACGAGTTGTGCAAAAAAAAAAAAAAAAGGTGTAGATAGGAACTTACCCTTTAATAAAGCTCTTGTTCAAACGATGGTTTTCTGGGATTGTTTTCAGGAGTCACATTTCTGGTATGCTAAGGAAGAAAGTTGCACTGTGATTCTCAAGTCTTCAGCCCGTTGGTGTTGGTATAGCTGTTAAGCAGGCTTCGCTTTATGAGTCCGTATCATGTTTTCCCTTTGCCAGTAATTGGGTTGGGTGGTGTCAGGGGCTTGTGAGAAAACCAAGATTTGGAAGAGAATTCATTTCTCAGAGGTTGCTGAACTAGCTCATCAGGGACGTGCAGTTTACTGAGTCACTGGAGACTTAACTGAGAAGACACTAAGGAATTAGGATTCGCAACTATTGGTAACAGTGTAGGTAAGTTCTGCCTTAAGCAATGGGACATTGCGCAGTGGATTGGTTTCCCCCTTTGATACTTGCTTGACATGCTTCCTAAATGATTCTCACACCCTGAGGAGGTCTGGGAAGCTGATCTTATGGGCCATGTGGGGAAATATTAAGTTCAAGGATATGGCTAGGACCCTTAGACAGGGACAGAACAGGAGTTAAAACAGTCCTCTGGCTCCTGGGCTGGCGTATCCTCCAGTCAGTGTGTCTTCCCTAACTCTTAGCAGTGAATAACGGCCTTTTCAGGGTGTAAGGTGCTCTGTAAAGGCAAGGAAGTCCCCGTTTGCTCCCTGCTGCCCATCTTTTGATTTATTTGTTGTGGTTTTTTTTTCCCTGTGCTTTAATCCTCTGCCATAGCTTATGTTGGAATGTAGACAAATGCTTCTGTAGCAATTTTTAGCCTTTTTTGGGAAGGGTTTTTGGGTAGCCAAGTAGTTCACACTTTGAACTAAAGACTTATAAAGTGTATCTTCTCAAGTAGGAGAAATCCTTCAATCTAGCTGAAAAATTTCTGTGCTTCTAGCTACTTGGCATCAGTGAGTGAAAATGAGCTATTAACATTTTTTTAGAAATTAAGATTTATTTGAAAGCCAGGGTCACAGGGAGAGGAAGAGAGAATGCTTCCATCTGCTGGTTCACTTTCCAAATGGCTGCAGTGGCTTCCTGGGCTCCCAAGTGGATACAAGCTTTCAGTGCTTTCCCAGTTGCCTTAGAGGTTACCTGGGTTGGAGATATAGTAGCCTGGACTTGAACTGGTGCCCATATGGGACACTGATGTTACAGGTAGTGGGTTTAACTTGCTGTGCTACACTGTCAGCCCCCCAAATTTAAAACGTTCTGAGAAATCAGTATTGGTATTTGATAATGTGAATTATCATGGATAACTTTATTATTAATAATGGCTCACACTGTGACTCTTTTTGGTATGTTGTGTATTAGACTTTCATTTAAAAGATTTACTTGTTTGAGGCTTGTGTGGTGGCTCGTCAAACTAATGTTCTACCCTGTGGAGCTGGCATCCCATATGGGCACTGGGTTGTGCCCTGGCTGCTCTGCTTCTGATTCAGCTCTCTGCTTTATGGCCTGGGAAGGCAGTGGAAGATGGCGCAAGTCCTTGGGCTCCTGCACCCACATGGGAGACCCAGAGGAAGCTCCTGGCCCTGGTTTTTGATTAGCTCAAGCTCTGGCTGTTGTGGCCATTTGGAGAAAGGACGAGCACTCTCCCCTCTGTAAGATCTGCCTTTTTAATGAAACAGACAAATAAGTAAAAGGATTTATTTACTTGAAAGACAAAGGGAGAAATCTTCTGTTAATTAGTTCACTGTCCCTTGGCCTTAATGCAGAGCTAGGTCAGGCCAAGCCGGGAGCTTGGCACTCTGTTCTGGTGTCTACAGAGGTGGCCAGGGCCCAAGCACGTGGGCTCGTGCTGGTTCCTTAGGCACAGCAGCTGGGAGCTGGGTCGAAACTGTTGCCTCTGTGTGATTCCAACCTTGCAGATTGCAGTTTAATCACTGTTCCATAGTGCTGGCCTCTGAGATGTTTTTGAATTTGAGTATTCATTGAGGGAGAATTTAAAGTAGTTTGTTTGTAGAAGCCTATTTTGTATTTTAAAAATAAAACTACAAATAAATAAGCTTTAACTTGGCATCATACTTTTATCTTTAGTTGCATGCCAGTGTACCTGTACTGATAATATGGACTGTTGCAAAAATTATACTTCAGTTATGAACTTATCAAAAAATTATGTGAATAATAGGGGTGATCTGATTATAGATTACCATTCTGTGATTTGTATTTTATTCAGTTTGTGTCCTTAAAATTAGTATTCAGTGATTGCTATAAATAAGGATGAAATTATATTAGCTTCAGTTGTGTAGCTCTTTCAGAAAAACATGTGTGTACACACGTGTATCTATATTTTACTCTTTGTTACGTGTTAGGTTCAGTGGGGGTGGTGCATATCACTGCATGCCCTCAAGGAATTTACAGTTTATTTGCAGTAAATGATAACCCCGTGCAGTAACTATCAGGGAAGTTCATGGGCTGCTGTTACTAGTTCTGAGGGCATAGAATGCTTTGATACTGGGTTAGAATTTGGCTGTGCAGGAAGGGGAAGGGTTTTTGGGTAAGTTTGGCAACAGAAAGCCAGAACTTTGGATGGGGAAACACCATGAAGATGCAGAGGCAGATAAAGATGAGTAGGTGATGTGATGTAATTTATAGCCTGGGCTAGTATATGGGAGCTAGAGTCTAGATCCTGGTGTCACGTGGCTCACACTTAACCAAGATACAGTGAAAATGAAGGGAAGTTCAGAGTAGGATAGCAATGTGATTCGAGTAGAATTTTAGAAGCATGAGTATCTCTGGGTGTGCAGCAGTATTGGCACACAGCTTATATTCAGGCTGGGGTCTCTTAAATACTTTTTTTTTGAATGGTTCATTAGCTAAGTGTGGTTTTCCGTATTTAAAGGGTTATTTAAAAAGTGAGAACTGCATTAGACACCGTGTGTGGCACGTATTTAAAGTTTGCCAACACTGCTTGTGGTTCTCAAAGTGCGATCTCCGGACCAGTACCATGATATGTCTGTGTTCTCTCAGTGTGATGCAGCGTTTATTATTTTAAGTCCTTTATTTTATTTATTTTTTATCTGAAAGGCAGAGAAAGAGATCTCCCTTACTCTTGTTTACTCACCAAATGGCTGCCACATTCCTGTCCAAACCCAGGAATCAGGAACTTCTTACTGGTGCAAGGACCATGGCCATGAGCAGGGAGCTGATTAGAAGTACAACAGCTAGGACCTGAATCATATGGGATGCTGCCATTGCAGGTTAAAACTTACTTAGCCTGCTTTGTCACAGCACTGGCCCCAGCCCTTAACATTTTTAAGAAAAAAAGATTTCTATTTGAAAGGTAGATTGTCAACCCCTCCCCCACTACCCTCATATACCATCGCTGGTTCACTGTGTTTCTTTATTTCTTTCTTTAAATAAGATTTATTTATTTTTTATTGAAAGCACAAATTTACAGAGAAGGAGAGATAGAGAGGAAGATCTTCCATCCGCTGATTTACTCCCCAAGTGACTGCAACAGTCAGAGCTGCACCGATCCAAAATCAGGAGCCAGGAACTTCTTCTGGGTCTCCCATGTGGGTGCAGGGTCCCAAGGCTTTGGTCTGTCCTCAACTGCATTCCCACTCACCCCTTTTAAAGATTTATTTATTTTTAATGGGAACACAAAATTACAGAGAGAGAGAAAGATCTTCCATTCCCTTGTTCACTCCCCATGTGGCCACAGTGGCTAGAACTAAGCTGATCTGAAGTTAGTAGTCTCTTTTGGGTCCCCCACACAGCTACAGGGTCCTAAGGACTTGGGTCACCCTCTGCTGTTCTCTCGGGCCACAGGCAAGGAGTTGGATGGAAAGTGGAGTAACCAGGGCAAAAATTGGTACCCATCTGGTGCCAGAAAGGGAAGGATTAGCCAATTGAGCTATTGTTAGGTCCTCTTGTGGGTCTCCCATGTAGGTGCAGGGTCCCAAGGCTCTGGGCCATCCTCGACTGCTTTCCTAGGCTACAGCAGGGAGCTGAATGGGAAGCAGGGCTGTCGGTATTGAAACCAGCACCCAAATGGGATATTGGCACATTCAAGGTGAAGACTCTTTTGCCTAAGCTACTGCACCGGACCTTTGATACACATCTTAAATGTGGTTTTATTTTTAAATTTGTTTTC